CTCATCATGAATAGAATCGTACAATGTCATATCAGCATAGAACTCATAAACCAGTAATGGAACTTGTGTCTCTAAACAACAACCAATTAGTTTTACCACATTCACATGGTCTATACGTGAAAAATTGACCAATTTACAAATGAAATCCTGAATCCGGATTGGATCAATTTTTTCACACCTGTTTACGGTGATTGGTTTGTTTACCCCATCTACAAGTAAAGTTCCTCTGTAAACTGGTTCATTCATATCTCTATGGAAGACTCTACTTTCATTGTAGTTGTCTGTAGCCCTGCTGAGATCTTGTGCTGTGAAAACTATACAACTTTTCCTTCTTAATGGCATTCTTTCTAAAATCAGTCCACCATTTTCCTCGAACAACTTCCGTCTTAGTTTAGCGATTTTCATTTTCTTGCTTCAAAATATCCAAGAAATTCCAACGACAGGAAAAATGAGGCCTGTTTAAAAATGGAATGATTTATGTCAAATTTGTTTATAATCAACATTTCCTCCAAACACTACCAAATATACCTAGAAAAAAAGGGATTAAAACTTTGTCTGCCCCTGCTCTCAAATAGTCCTTAAACTTTAAAGTATGAATACTAAAAGTCTTCAAACTTTATAGTATTTACCTCATTAGTCATTGAAATCGATTTTGTCCATAGAAACTAATGGAGAACAACACCATAGTTGAATTTACTAAAAATGACATGTGGTCAACTAATGTAAACATGACCAAACAACACAAAATAGATTTTATTATTTTAACCCTAAGATGAAGGTCCACCGTTATTCCGCATAGGCATACCATGAGCCCAATCAACCTTACCGTTAGGTTGGTCTCACTTAATCGATTTTAGCGATCAGCATGGAAAATTATAGTAAGTTAAGGGACGAATCAGTTTTTTTGCAAAAGAACAAAAACAAAGGAGCATACCTAAACCAACAGAGACAAGTAGAGACCTGAGCTCGGTCTTCAGGTTGGAGACTAGCATCTTTCTTTGTATCACCTACAACCGCAGCGCACTTATATCCTGTATGAGAATTCTATAATTTAGATGAGAAGAGCTTCAGGATTGAACCGCACTTGTTGTAACAACTGGTTGGACAATCTTTACGATACCGTGTGGGAATTCATTTGCACGTGTAAAATGATTTTCTTTACGGGAAGTTATTAACTTGCGTTTCAAGTGAAAACTTTTACGTGCTATGGGAAAATTTGCATCCTTTTTAATAAAACCAAAATAGAAAAGTATTGGGAGATTGGAAAGTGCTGTGAAATTTTATGTCTTGAGATATTTTAAGCCAATTGCAAAGCCACATGAGGATCGTTCGTCTTGTGAAAGGGA